GGATGAGTAATTTCCAAAATGTCTCGTCTTCAACAGCCTTGCTCAGCATTTACAAACTCAAACCTGTGACTTACTTTAGGAAGCCAATCTATCTTGTATTTGATCTTCCTCTTTTCCTGCTGCCTTCAACCTGCTACCTTCAGCATCATTGTCTCTGCTAGAAACTCTTGCCTTCTCATAATGTGCCCAAGGCATGACATGCTCAGTTTCATCATTTTTGCTTCCAGAGATAGTTTGGGCTTGATTCGATCTAGGACCCACTTGTATGTCTTTCTGGCAGTGCCAGTTATCCACAAAGTCCTCCTCCAGCACCACATTTCAAATGAATACTTTTTTCCAGTCAGCTTTCTTTACTGTCCAGCTTTCACTTCCATATATGGTGATTGGACAAATAAGAGTGTGGATGATCTTGGCCTTGGTCTCCAGTGACACATCCTTACATTTGATTATCTTTCCTAATTCCTTCTTTGTTGTCCTTCTGAGTCTTCTTCTGATTGCTCGGCTGCAACCTTGCTTTGAGCTGATGATTGGACCAACGTATACAAAATCTCTAATTATTTCAGTTTCTTAATTGTCAATGTTAATGAAGTTAATGTTAAAGTTGAGTAGCTATTCTATAGTCAGTTTATCTGTCCAGTCCAAATAGTCCAGGGTCTTAAGCAGGGGTCTTTCATTCACCTGAACAAGGGAGGCTGGTGACTGGGGCTGGTAAATCTACTCTGGATTTTAATCCAAAATTTTAAGGATGCTAACCAAGGTGCTGAACTCATTTGGATTTAGCTGCACTGAACCTTTTTACCTGCAGAGCCAGGCATGTTCATTGCGTTATGGCTTTTCCTCAGGCGAGATTTCCCTTAATTTGAAATGGCACTAGTCAGACTCAGGCTTTTTGCCAACCCCAGAGTCTATTTAATAAAGTTAACTCGGTTACCAAATAAAGAGAGGTGAGAACTGTTTATACTGGCCATTAATATTTGCAAGAGGGTGGAACACAAAGGCAACATCAAAAAACTTCATACTTCTGTTGCTTTTTTGTGTGTGTGCCTACATTTCACTTTTCATCATTAACATCTTGGGTTTTGCCAATTTCCAGTGTGCAAAGCACTGTTGGGGGGGGGGAATGGGCCACAACTCCCCAAATCCATTCTATTTCAATTTATTTTTGAACTATAGGGTTCAAAGCTCCCACAACCAATTTTTGAGCTATAACTCTCAGGACCACGTGGCTGGGACGTTATGAGAGTTGGTGTCCGAAAATAAATTTTCGATACTTCCCCTGCAAAGTATTGTGCAACCTCCCAACCTCTGACTCCACAGCTAGATACTTAAACCACTGTGCTATCCAGCAGTTCTCTCAGGCTTACTTTATATGGAACAAAGCTTGATGTTGTTGTTTATTTTATTTATTTATTTACTTATTTATTAGATTTGTATCCCGCCCATCTAGACTACATCTACTCTGGGCAGCTTACAGTAAAAACATGAAAAACAATATATGAACAATTAAACGACAATTTAAATCAATAATATTAGTGGCATTCAAGATAGAAAAGCAAAATGTAAGTTAAGATAGAAAAGAAAATCAAGTAGTGACCGGAGGGAAGGCCTGCCTAAAGAGCCAGGTCTTAAGTTTGCTCTTAAAAACACCCAGCGTCGTTAGGCCCCTCGGCCGCCTTTCCTGGCTGTATCGAGTCATTCGAGTAGATCTAGGTGGGAGAAGGCATTCTACTAGGTATCGAGGTCCTAAACCATTTAGGGCTTTATATGTCAACATTAGCACTTTGAAATCAATGCAGAAATGAATGGGCAACCAATGCAAGGTAGCCAGAGTGGGAGAAATATGCTGATGTCTTATCCCACTAAGAAGTCTGGATGCTGCATTCTGCACCATCTGAAGCTTCCACATCAATCTCAAAGGTAGCCCCACGTAGAGCGCATTAAAGTGGTCTAATCTCGAGATTACAAGCGCATGGTGAGTTTAGTCATAAAGTTGTGTCCGATTCTTCATGACCCCATGGAACAGAGCACGCCAGGCCCTCCTGTCTTCCACTGCCTCCCGAAGTTGGGTCAAATTCATGTTGGTAGCTTCAATGACACTGTCGAACCATCTCGTCTTCTGTCGTCCCCTTCTCCTCTTGCCTTCACATTTTCCCAACATCAGGGTCTTTTCCAGCGAGTCTTCTCTTCTCATGAGATGGCCAAAGTATTGGAGCCTCAGCTTCAGGATCTGTCCTTCTAGTGAGCACTCAGGGTTGATTTCCTTCAAAATGGGTAGGTTTATTCTCTTTGCAATCCAGGGGACTCTCAAGAGTCTCCTCCAGCACCACAATTCAAAAGTATCAATTCTTTGGAGGTCAGCCTTCTTTATGGTCCTGCTATCAGCTTGATGTTACAGATGCTTAACCACCTGTCATTACCATTAATCCCTTTCAAGTGTCCCTAGGCTAATGGATTGCTTCCTTAATGGTGGTTTCATCCCTCAATTATCATACCCTTGGGCAGGAAGGACCTTCCTAGCAAAGTCTAACACACATTCCAAGCCCTGATTTGAACTAATCTATACACCATATGAGTAGGACAGCCATAGACCAGTCCTGTTTGAAATGCATTCTGGCTAGTTCTTCTGTCGAGCACAGTGACAGAGGGTGCTTCAAATGCTCAATTTCCTCCGTTTGGTCTTCCCACCATAGACATGTCCCCTGATTAATATCATGAAGCCCATTTCCCACAATTTCTCCACAGTTAGCTTTCAGCAACACATTCTTATACCACCATGTGACAAAAGTGAAGGTGATATTGGACATTTGGAAGAGAAGGTCTTCAAAATGTCCAAACGTTTGAGGAAGTGGACATCTCCATGAAAGCTCAAATTAAAATATAGCAGCTTGTCTTTAAGGTGTCACAATGTTTTTGTTGTCTGTATTTTATTTTTATTTCATTTTTGCCTGATATGCTAGCACAGACTAACATGGCTACCTCGTCAAAATCTAAATCCTTAGTATGATAGGTACCAGACACTGGCTTCTAAATAAACTGACCCTCTCAGCTTGCTTCTTTCTTTGCTGTTCCAGACATGCGGTTTATAGAGATTTCCCCTGTTTTCCCTACCTGCCCTTGCCACGTCTAATGTTGTTATCAGTTGCAGTCTCTGTTGTTTCAGAGAAACCAGGTCTGCTTGGGGGATGGCAAGATAGCTGTTTAACTGCCTAAGAACAGTTAACAGTTGTGTAGGTTATCCCTCCCTCCCTGCTGTTTCCATGCAAATTGAAGCAAGCTGCTTTGATGAGGCAAAGTATTATTAATTAAGTGCCTGGAGCACAGACTGATGGAATGCAAGGGAGGGAACTCAGGAGGCTGAGGTTTCACTGATGCCAACAAAATAGGACACTTCTCCCACTACCCTGCCGGGGTTTTGAATGGATGCTTCAGGATTTTTGTTTTGCTTTACATTACTTCCAAAACTGGGATGAAAACCAGTAGGAATATTACTTTGTGAGATTTATTTTCTCCATCTCAGTCAGATATATTTATATGATCTCTACTGTATTTTATTTCTTGTGGTTTTATCCACTCTTTCTCCAAAAAGCTGCAGAGCATATCCTCACAATAGACTTGTGACGTGGACAAAGCTGAGGAAGACAGAATAACTTGCCTAGGAACATTCTGTCAGTTTTTAGGCTAAGTGGAAATATGCACCCTGCTGTTCTCCATCTGTATGTTCCAAATGTACTAAGCACTCCACTAATGAATGTGTTTAATTCATGGTGCAGCTTTGGATGTATCTGCTAGGAGTTGCAGTTAGAGAAACTGTATAATGCTGGGTATTCCCTTTTTCTCAAGTGTTGCTTTTCATAAATGTATGTATTTTTTACACTGACAATTTTCTTGCAATGAGACCAAAGCAGCATCTGATGGCAGTCATCCTCCCAACAGCCCTTTGAGGTTGGCCAGGCTCAGAGAGGGTGTCTGGTCCAAGGGCTACCTAGTGAGCTTCATGGCTGAATGTGTATTTGAACATGGACCTTCCAAACTTATCCCAGCACTATAACTATACCAGTTTACCATAGGAATAGTGCAGATGGCCTCATTTCAGGGTGTGTGTTTTTGTAAAAGAATAGTTGGCAATTCATGGGAGATACTCACGGAATGGTATAGCAATTAATTATTTTGCCATTAAGATTGGGGAGTAGCCAAAGGAAATGCTATTTTTGAGTGTCATCATATGGTTCTGATCATAAAAATCAAGAAGCGGCTTAGAGAGATGGTTCTTCCTTTCAAAAACTCTAACTTCTTCAGGGCTGAGCTGGCACAGATTTCAGTCTGTGCTTCAGTTCAGCCAGTAGAATCCCTATGTAGCAACTCAATTGGCTGAGCGGGATGTGGCTGCCACTGAAAACTTTGTAATCCTTGCAATAAATACGTTAGGTTCAGGGCATTTGATTCTTCTTGTTTTTCCACGTTTGAATCATGAAGGAATATGGAGAAAAATGTGCCTATCCCAGTAGCTCCTTCATACCAATCCTCTATACTGGCTGAGGAATTCTTGGAGTTGTAGTCTAAAATAGTAACTTTTCCAAGCTTGTGCTCATGGCATGATGAACTATTGAATTAGATATAAGGCAAACTATACAAATAAGGAGCCCCTTCATGTCCAATACAGGGATGTAAACTGATTTATGCCCCCTTAACTGGCCATCAGTGTACAGTGGGAAATGGGACTGGTATCAAACTTGCCTTGGCTGTTCAGAATAGAATCCATCCAAGCATGGAAAAATTGCTTTTTTGACTGTAACACTCAGTGGCTATGCTGACTGGGATATTCTGGGCATTGTAATCCAAAAGGGGACTTTTCTAAGCTCTCTAGAAACATGGAATATTTTCTGAATGCACGGAGACCCAGTGTATCTGATATTTTTTAAATGGTTCCGACTTTTTCTCTTTTAATAGTTGTTAATAAATAAGAGCTGGTCTGTTTATAATTTTGGTGTTTTCACTTGTAGGTGGCTGATGATGCAGCATGCCTTTGTTCTTTACCCCTGACCTGAGCATCCAATAGTCACTGGTGTCAGTGTTTGTTTTACAAGAGATGTCTGCAACCAGAGGCAATGGAGAGCACTGGAAGTCTCTGGGGATCAGCCGAAAGGAGCTGGCTCTTGCTGAAGCCCTGCAGATGGAGTATGATGCTCTCTCCCGCCTGAGGCAGGACAAGCAAGAGAGCCAAGCCAAGCAAAACACTGACCAACCTCTCATTTCCTGGGATGATCCAATTCTGGATTACAACAAACCTGCTGTAAGGAATGACTGCCACAATATCAAGGTCATGCGAGGCCTCTCTGGCTCAGACCCCACCCTCAATTACAATGCCCTCTCTGGCCAGGAGGTCTCAAGAGCTTTTGGGACCAACAATACTACCTCATCCACTTTGCTGCCTGAGCAAGAGAGCCAGCCTTGGTTGAAGGGACCTTTGTCTAGTGATTACTTGTATATCTTTGAGAGCACAGAGCAAGACCTCCTCACTGAGCCTGCCAATAGTCCATCCTGCCAGAACAGAAGTGGCAGTAGCTCTCCCAAAAACCTTTCTCCTCCTCCGCTGCCCCCTCGCATTGCCATCTGGAATGCCCCTGAAGTGAATCAGGTTTCCCTCAAAGGGTCTCAGCCCAACGATATCAACATGTTCACCTCATCCCATGAGAGGGCCGATGGAAAGCTGGTAGGCCGTAGAATCTCAGAAGAGGATCCATATAGCACAGTAGACTATGATGGCATCAATGATGCTATCACTCGGCTCAACCTCAAGTCCACGTATGATACTGAGCTTCTGAGGGAAGCCACATGGAGTTGGAAGGAAGGTAGAAGCATTTTTGAGAAAGAAAGCAGTGGGAAGCCAGTTGCTCGCAGCAAGACCATGCCTCCTCAGGTTCCTCCAAGAACATATATCTCCAGGTCTGGTGCACGGAAGAATGCTGCACTCAACAAGAACCGGAGGATATCAGCAGATCCGGTAAAGACATTTCTTTTTTGGTAGTCAAAACGGTAACATGATTAAGGAGCTTAAGTCCTTCTTAAATGCAGGGCTAAAGGGTTCACACAATCTTATTAATGTTCTGTATCTGCCTTTCCCAACCTGGTACTCTTCAGATGTGTTGGATGACAGCTTCCATCATCCCCAGCCATCACAGCCATTGGCTTTGCTGCCTGGGGATGAGAATTGCACTTCAATATTTGTGGAAGGCATCAACTGGAAGATGGCTGAATATGTGTATATATGTGGCAAGTATGAAGCTCTACTAAAAAGCCCAACGGTAAGAGGAAGAATGGGAATGTCAGTGGCAACTGGAAGAGTTGGCTTCTTGTTGTTTTGTATTCCTTTGTTCTTTTAGAATGTATCTACACTATGCAGTTATCACAGTCTGATTTCACTTTAATTGTTGTGGCTTTATCCTATGGAATACAGGGAATTGTAGTTTGTTCATGTGCTTGGAATTTTCTGCTGTAGCTCAGATACGGGAAATGCACTAGAGCTTTCTGGTACAGAATTCTAAGTCTCTCACCTGATTACAAATCACAGGATTCCATAGCATGGAGCCATGGCACTTAAACAGTGACAGCAAACTGTTGTACCTGTGCAGTATAGATTGGCCCATCCTTTATACAGGTTCGGCAGTGTCAGAAAGACTTCTGTTTGAAAATGCAGCTTGATATACAGTGGTGCCTCGCTTAACGATGATAATCCGTTCCAGGAAAATCGCTGTTAAGCGAAAACATCGTAAAAGTAAAATTTAAAAGCCCATTGAAACGCATTGAAAACCCCTCAATGCATTCCAATGGGCTAAAAACTCACCATCCAGTGAAGATCCTCCATACGTCCCTAAGCACAGCGGGGAGCCATTTTAAGCACCCGGTGGCCATTTTGAAAACCCAACGATCAGCTGTTTTTGATCGTCGTAAAGCGAAAATCGGTTCCCGAAGCAGGAACCAATCATCGCTAAGCGAAATTCCCCTATTTAGACCATTGTTTTGGGATTGCAATTGCGATCCACTTTACGACAAAAAACATCATCGTAAAGCGGATTCGTCGTAATGTGGGGTAATCGCTAAGCGGGTTACAACTATTTAGAATGGATACTAGGGATAGGAACCCGAGTGTGCCTGCTCATTTGACTTTATAGGGGAGAATTGTTAATGAGCACATTTAAGGCTCCTGATGTCTCTTTCTCGCTCTCTTTTTAAATCTTTTAACTTGATTCAGACTGAAGAGTGCTTTGAAAGAAGCTGTCTTCTAACAGGGGGATATCTTCTGATGGTCCTTCAAGCAGAGAACTGTTGTTTATGAAACAAGACCTGATTACCCTAGTCTTAGGCAAAAGCCTCTGCAGAAGAAGAACATTTAATGGAAAACTGCTTCCATTAAATGTTCTGTTCAGTTTGTACCAGAATTGGGAACCCTGGTTGTTCATAACTTGCGTAGTGGTCCTGTGGTGATCCAGCAGTTGACACCGGTAAATTGTAAGATGCCTAGAGAAACAGCAGCAACACAAAGACTTGCCTTCAGACAAGTTAAATTAGCTTTTAAGCTTTAAAAACTGCAAACCAAAGCTTTGGAATCAGAGTTAGGAAGGAAATTAAAAGCTGTATGCTGTGTTTTCTAGTTTTTAATTCTATCAGTTGCTATAGATTTTCAGATGTTTGAATATGAAACAAGTTGAAGGATACAGATGTTTCCTGAAAGAGGTACATCATGTGCAGTGACTTTTAATCTTGCCCTGCAAGATTTTAAAAGCTTTTTTACATTCCAGTAAGAGCTTCCACCCCACTTCTAGGGAAATAATAATTTTTGTCAGTACCATGGTGCATTGGTTTGTCACACAGTCTCAATTGTTAACTGCCTGCAATTGAAAGCACCCAAACCAGGCACAAGTGTGATCATCCACTTACTTTAACGTCTGCTTTGCCCCCCCCCCTTCAATGTCAAGTCCCTATAAGTCTGGAGGTAAGTAATACAGAGCCTGCAGCTGGGTGCAGCCTGGCTGGTTTTGCTGCCATTCCAGCTCTGTGCTTTTGTCTCTGTGCTGTTTTATAATAGTACCCTGTTTCCCCGAAAATAAAACCTAACCTGAAAATAAGCCCTAGTATGATTTTCCAGGATGCTCGTAATATAAGACCTACTCCCAAAATAAGCCCCAGTTAAGTGAAACCCTGCCCTCCACCATTGTGCAGCAACTATAAGAAGATGACATGGATGAATTTGAATAAATGTAGATGGTTGTACATGAAAAAAATCCCCCGAAAATAAGCCCTAATGTGTTTTTTGGAGCAAAAATTAATATAAGACCCTGTCTTATTTTTGGGGAAACACGATAGTAACAAAAAAAAATCCAATACTTCACTTTAAGGCAAGGAGAGTTAGTGATTTGAGCCACCTTTTCAAGTTGAAATGAGTTCCTAAAGGTCTTCCCAAAGTGCAAATCAGGTCAAAAACAAGGTACACAGTCTCTATGAGCCCTGATTCGACAGAATATTGATGTCTCTCTTTTACCACCATGATGTCTCTCTTCCACCACCATGCCACTGAACTTCAGCAGTGTGGTGACAAATTTGGAGGTGTGATGGCAGATGTAGGATTTACCTTCTCCAGCAGAAACAGCATGTGCAGTGCAGTCCATCATTCCCAGATGTTTCTCAGACCTACTATAATCAGTTAGTATAGATAGAGCCTGCTTTGAGGCATATGTTTGTACAGGTCTTCAAGGGTGTTGCATGAGTTCATAGCACCCTATTTTCCAATCTCAAATAAAGCAGTCCAAGTACCAATGGCAATTTCAGGAAATTTCTTGAGATCTGCATCCCAGTAGTGGGTGGGCCAAAATGTGGATCCAACTCTTTCCTACATGCTTTAAGGTAATATATTTTAGTTATTGTCAGAAAGTAAGGTTTAGAAGAGCAAAAATCAAAGAAACCTTCCAAATATAGTATCAAGGAGACGGAAACGTGCTGTCCTCTAAAGATGCCGGCCACAGAGACTGGCGAAACGTTAGGAAGAACAACCTTCAGAACGTGGCCAAAGAACCCGAAAAACCCACAACAACCATTAGATGGAAACACGGTTGCTTAGGGAAACCCAGAGTGCTGGATTTGGTCTCAGGGCATAAGGTTCCTGCCTCCTGACATAAAGTCTCTTCTTCTGAATGTTCCCATGTTGGTATTAAAATGAGGAACTAAAAAAGCGGGTGTTTCTCATGCCAGTGCCGGCAATCACATGTGTAGGAGGGATCCTCTGGGAATAGCGAAGTCTGAGCTTGTTTCCTGTTCCTTCTCTGGAACCTCACTGTCACCACCAGAATTAATTGTTTTTTCTTGGATGTTGCCTGTATTAATGCTTACTGGCACATACATCAGCTGCTTTGCCTGGCTGCCTGGGAAGAGTAGGGCATAGCTGTTGGGCTATTTATATGATCCACATAACACAGCAATCTGAGGGGAAGGCCGTGCCCAGCAAAAACATTTGCCTGAAAATAGGAGTCCCTTCTACCCATCAGAGCTCCTGTTTCCCAAAAGCAGTCGCTTCGGAAAGGTCACACCACAGGAAACAAACACTCACATGTTAGGAAACAAGGAGACAGCCCCGTTTTCTGTTAGCAAGCAACAATCAAGGATATTCTGTGCAATATTTCCTTTCCTGCTCAATCACTTTCATAGGAACTCTCTACCCTTTTGCTATAGCAGAATTCTTGGTTAACAGGAAGACTAGTCAGTTCTAGGCCAGGGATCTGGGAATGCCCTTATCTATTTATGTGGGATTGTGAATGGGCCATGATGGCATATTCTGAAATGTAAGAGTGGAGGTGAAATACTGGTTGGAAGCTGCAAGAAACAGACTCAAGGAAGTTCTCCATTGTCATCCAACGACCTGGGACCAGCGACTCTCTGTAGGGCCAGGGAGAAATGTTGTCAGGAGCCACTGGCAGAGGTTACGTAAGTCTCCCTCTGTTTTTGTCCAGCTAGGAAGTAATTATAAAGAGCATTAAAATTGTCTCTGGTGTTTGCTGTGCCCCTGTCCCTTTCTTCTCTCTCCCCCTCTCCCCATTCCTCTAACTATTTGGTGGGTTAATTGCTCTGACAGTGAGACCTTTGTTTGCCTTTGAAGGAATGAATTGAGGCACTGAGAGCATGTCTCCCATTCCATTTGGCTGGGTTTGGCATTTAAACTCTTCCTGTCCTTCTTTCCTCCTCATCCTCCTGTAGCGTTTGGGAGGGAGACGTTGGAAACAAAATGGAATGTTTTGAGAATGCGTCTGTTAAAAATGAAAAGTTGTTTTATGATGTGGTTGGTTTGCAATCCTTGTGTTATTTATTTTCATTAATGTTTTAAAAATATTTAAAATATGTATATGCTGCCTTCCTCCTAAAGGATACTGTTACTGTTATTCAGCTGTAGTTGACACATATTATCTCCTCAATCTGCAAATATCTAGGGGGAGTGATCAAGTAGTTGAGAACCCAAATACATACATATCAAACATAAAAATCCATATTAGTGCTGTAAACTAGCTGACCACTCAATTATAGGTGTTTTTACTCTGCTCTGTCTACAGAGGCTGAATCTTGAGAACTGCAACCTAATTTGAGATTTGTATAAAATTAAGAATATATATATATAATGTAGAAATTCTACTGTGTCTTATAGATATAGATATAGATATAGATATAGATATAGATATAGATAATGTAGAAATTCTACTGTGTCTCATATTGAAATCCTGGTAAATTGACATCATTTTAAGGAATATCTCTTCTCAATATTTGCCTCATTGACTGTTATGATCTGTGTGGGAGTCGTTGAGGTTGCTGTATCCAATTAGGTGGCACTCTCCAGATGCTTAGAGAAGGCTTTTATGTTTCTAGCACCATAACATTAGAATATGCTTCCAGTGAAGTTGGGATTAGCTGTGTCTCTTCTGTATGATTGACCATCAGCCTCTTTTGCAACTGAACTGCGTGAAA